AAGATTTCTGGAGCCAGGTCTCATGACACAGGCCTATAATCGAAGCTTCTCCACAAACTGAGGCAGGAGATTTACACATTCAAAACCAGTCTGGGCTAAGGAATGACAAAACTGGGCAGTCAGATATGGTAGCAAAGGCCTTTAATCTCTGGGAGACAGAGGGAGCTCTGGGAGTCCCAGTCCAGCCAGGGCTATGTGGAGAGACCCTGTCTCATAGACAAACAAGCCAATAGATAGAATGGTAACGATAATAATGTCTATCCCACAGTCAGTGAACCGGGACTGGATTCCGATCCCGCCTGGCACTCACTAACTGCAGAGCTCACCCCAGTGGGCTCACTCCATGTTTCTGCTCCCTCCTTTGGAAGCGGAGAATGAGGAAACAGAGTAACAAGACAACTAACTGACTTTCTATGACCAAACAGATGCCAGACGCCCAGCAGCTCCTGACTGTAAGGAAGAAACGTCTTACAAGAAGAGTGCTCTGTGCGTGGGTTTTGGTTGTGAGCTGAGCCTTTAATGGCTGAGCCATCTCTCCATCCAGCCCTACACATGGTTCTTTCTTTTTTTTTTAAGTGTTTTGAAATGTCTCGGAGAAGAGCTCTGTACTCATGGGTTTTGGCGGTGGTGCTGAGAACATCTTTCGTCCCAGCACTCGAGAGACAGAGGCAGGCAGATCTCCGTGAGTTCGAGGGCAGCCTGGTTTACAAAGCTAGTGCCAGGACAGCCAGGGCCACACAGAGAAAGGCTGTCTCAAAACAACGATAAATATAAAGTAGTGTACATAAGGTAGGCATGGGGTCACGTATGACCCTTGCCAGGCAGAGGAGGATCTCTGTAAGTTTAAGGCCAGTGTGGTCTAGCAAGTTCCAGCAAGTTCCAGGCCAGCCATGGTTGCATATGGAGACCTTGACTTTAAAAAATGTTTCCAATGTGTTCTGTAGATATTATTATTTTTATTAATGAAGACACTGAGCGCAGAGCAGCACAGTAAAAGGCTAGGATAATTCTGGGAAGAAGTTCCTCAGCATCCCTGGCCATGAAACAATGTAAGGTCCTACAAGAAACTCCTTGAAAGATGAGTGTGGGGAGAAGAGGCCACTCGGAGCCTCAACAGTAACTGTTGGCCTTTCTTACCCCCTCCAGGCAATGGCTAGCCCAGTCCCTCCAACACGTGGCCATCCCTGACCAAGATGAGAGAGGGAAACATGTGCCCTCAGGAAGCATCATTCACAGCGTGATAGGGCCATGCCCAGCCCAAAGCCCACGGCTTCCCACTCCATCCATGCTGGCTTTATCACACAGGCACCTGCCTAAGAATCGACACCACCCAGGGTTTGAACCCGAGCCAAGCTTCTTACTAGCATGCACCTTGAAAATCATCCACCAGAAGGGTACCACCGCCCCATGGGTAGACACTGCCTCTGCCACAGCCCAGCAATGGGCTAACAGGACATACGGGCAAGTCCTAAGGCCAGACTTTCCATGGAAACTGGGCGGCTCTGTAGCCTGGAATGCCCCCAGGCAACTCCCTTACCCCCTCGCTAGCATCACCCCCAAACACAATGAGGCACTGTTCTCCAAAGGGTCAAGACTGCTGAGAAGTTGAAAGGAGACATGACCAGATTCCAGCAGACTGGACACTGCCAACAGCTGGCTGTGTCCCACATTAGTGGATGAGAAAGCAACGCTATCGAGCCATTTCCCGGGACCTCCCTGGCCAGCAGAGCAGCTTTAGAGGTAAACTGTCAGTTACTCGGCAGGCCTTTGGGTTCACCCCCATGATTAGTACCAGCTCCTACCGCTTTGTAATTAGAACAAACCGGTCCTGAACTTGATCGGTCTAGGTTCAAACCCCAGCTCTGCCACAGAACATCCCCAGCTCAAGGTTCTGTGTCTGTGAGGCACAGTTAAACACACCTCCCTCTCCACAGTTGTAGTGAGAAAAAAAAAAAAGGACAGAGAGGGAAAAGTGTGAGCACAGTGCCTGTCTCCCGTGGAGCTGGAGGGATCATACCAGGCCGACTGTGGCCACCGCCTCCCCAAACACATTAGAATGTGAACACCGAGTGAGAAAGAGCCAGGGCAGAAAGCAGAATCAGAGCATCTGTGTTGTGAGAACTCTGTCCAGGAAACGCCGGCCAGAACTCGAACACAAGGAGCCAAACCAGCACCTCAGCTCTAATGAGAAAAGCCACCACCAGTCAGCCACCACCAGTCAGCCACCCCACAGCACAAGGCGTGGAGGACACACAGGGAAGGGCAGGGCACTCTGTGTTTATGTTTTTCTGCCCAAAGAGCTATAAATTTGTAACTTATTAAACAGCACATGGCGATTCTCTCACTGGCCACTATCGGAGGGGAGGAATGCTCCAATTTATTTATTTTTACCCTTAAGCCAGAAAACAAAGTTATAGCTCTGTACCCCGTGGCCTTGCCACAGGGAGACCACCCCAAACTATCCCCCACGTTAAACCACAGCGCCTTCACAGCTGAGCTCTCCCTTGGGAGACAAATAAAAACAAGGCTGGCCATCACATCCACCCTGACTTAGGAAAACAGCTGACGGGCAGTGTGCTGAGCCGCCATGCGGACAGCTGACGGCCTGGGCTCTGAAGCACATTCCTGCCCTGCTGCACACCCATTCCCCACCCTAAGCTCTGGCCAGCCAGGCGTGACTGGCCCCTGACAGCTCAGACTAAGGAAGTCTGAGCATGGACCAAACAACTGGAGAGAAGGCAGCAGAGGTCACAGGTGGCAGCCCCCCCCCCAGCCCCCAGCCCCTCCTGCCAGAGCTTGCTTGTTCCCATCCGGGGAAGAAATGCACACAGCACAGGAACCGGCCTCGGGTGTGTTTCTTGGCTGTGCAGCCTTGGGTCAGAGAACCGGCCTCTGCTGGTGTCTGTCTCTCACTTCGTACAAAGGGGCAGTGGGTGGCAGCGGCGTGATCGCCAGGGCCACTCCAGGCATGGGTGAGCACTCCATACACAGCACATTGCAATTCTGAAAATTCCCGTCTGCCAGACACTCTTTCCTTCCAAAGACAATCCAGTGTTCTGGCCCTAAATGGAAGGCCGTCAGAAGATGGGAATCCCGGGCTCTCCAAAGACTTCCTCAGTCCTTCAAACAGCACAGGGACTGTCCGGAACCAACAGTGTCCCCTCGCCAGTGTGTTCCCACAGGGAAACACGGAGACTTTCGGGGACCTAATCAAAAGCCCATCGCCCCCCCACCTCCTTTCAGCCTAGGTATTTTTATGTGGAAAAATAAAAATTCAAAATACCTGCCTGGAAGCTATGCCAGCCTTGAGTGCAAAGGGTTGCAGATGCCAAGCCTGACCCAAAGGCATAACTATGTTTGGCAGCGAACCCACTCTGGGAAACAAACAGGATCCAACACCATCCCCAGCTCCGGGATGTTTCATTCAGGGGCTCCCCGCTCCCACAAGGCATCTGCTGCAAAGCAGTGAAATCCAATGCCTACAAATAATCCATCTCAACTTGGTGCCCTGCGCTGCCTGAGGGAGGCCCCTCAGTCTTATCTACGCCCCAGAGGCAGGGACACCGGCAGCAGCAGTTCACACAGTCACCCACAGTCCCCAGAGAGAAGACAAGGCTCCTACAGAGAAGGGAACTACCCCCCACACACACACCTCCTCAACTGAGGGGCCCGAGGAGGAGGAAAAGACGGGCTCCTTCACTCTGGGATTCACAGGGCTCAGGGCATCCCGCAACCCTCGCATCAATCCCCGTGGGTTTGGAACCAGCTTCCAGGAGAGCCTTTCTTTCCTCTGTCCTAACAAACACCAGACCCAGCGTGGACTGAAATGATCGGACAGTGAAACTCTGTTCTGGGCACCCTGTCCTCCTTCCCCGTGTGTGCGGCTTCCAGCAGGCCTGCTGCTGGGGGGGGGGGGACCCTGCTAGCTCAGACACGTTCAGAGATGGCCATACCCTGCGGCCCATTCCCCTCCTCATTCCTCTGGCATTTCACCAGGGTCTGGGACTGGTGGGTGAGAGGCAGGAGTCATGACCCCCACCCCACCCCACCCACTCCACCCGCCTTTCTAAGTTTAGAAGGGAATGAAAGACTCCACACTGGTCACTAACGCAGTCGGTAAAACGGGGTGACTAGACGTGAAGCCGCGTGTGTGTGGGTGTGTGTGTGTGATGTGTGTGTGGGTGGGTGTGTGTGTGGGTGTGTGTGTGGGTGTGTGTGGGTGTGTGGGTGTGTGATGTGTGTGTATGTGTGTGATATGTGTGTGTGGGTGTGTGTGTGTGTGATGTGTGTGTATGTGTGTGGGTGTGTGTGATGTGTGTGTGTGTGATGTGTGTGTATGTGTGTGGGTGTGTGTGTGTGTGTGTGTGTGATGTGTGTGTGTGTGTGTGATGTGTGTGTATGTGTGTGTGTGATGTGTGTGTGTGATGTGTGTGTGGTGGGGGGTGGGTGTGGGTGTGTGTGTGATGTGTGTGTGGGTGTGTGTGTGATGTGTGTGTATGTGTGTGTGTGATGTGTGTGTGTGTGTTGGGGGGTAGCGTGGGACACTTGTCATTCGCGTGGGGGTGTGGCCCTCACAAGCTTCTCCGTGGCCTGTGATGGGAAACGGGTGGGCTCTCCAAGGGGGCCCTGACACGGGGGGGGGGGGGCTGGGTGCCCGTCTGCAAAGTGGGAGGGTGGCCTGGAGGGAACCGGGGCGGGTCACAGGGAGGGGGAGGGGAGGGGGAGGGGCGGGGGCGGGGGAGCGGGGTGAGGGTCCCGCGGCGGCGGCGGAGGAGCAGGTCCGCCCCGGATCCAGGCGCCGTCCCCGGGCCGGGCCGGCCGTGGGATCGGGTCCCAGCAGCAGCGAGAGCGGGCGGCTCGCACGGCCCGGGCCGCAGGCAGCGAGCGCCGCGCAGCGCAGCCGTCGCAGGGTGGGATCGGAAAGCCGGGCGCCCGCCCGCCCGGCCCCGGCCCCGGCCCCGGCCCCGGCCCCGGCCGCTCCGCCTCCCGCACTCACTCACCGAGGTCGTCCATGGCGGGGTCCGCAGACGCCGCCGCCCGGCTGCTGTCGCCCTCGCTGACCGTCCCGGGGCTGCTCCTCGCCGCCGCGCAACTTTTCCGCCTCCAGCCCCGGCCCCGGCCCCGGCCCCGAACGGAACGGAAGCCGCTGCTGCTCGCCGCTCCCCGCTCGCCGTCGCTGCCGCCACTGCCGCCGCCGCCGCCGCCGCGCGCACCCGCGGCCAGATGGCCACGCCCCCGCGCGCACGCTGGCCACGCCCCCGCCGCCGACCCCGAGCACGCCCAGTCCCGCGGTGGCTGGGGGGGGGGGAGACCGATGGGCGTGGCGGTGGCGCCCCCTGGCGGCGGCCGGAGAGGCGTCTCCGGGCCGTGAACCCCCCGGGTTCCGTCTGCCTCACTCAAAGTCATTTGTCACACCGACCGACGTTCACACGCGTCAGGGGCAGTTTTTCTGAGCCAGGGTCTCTCTTCTTTTTATTTGTTTATTTACTTTATGTATATGAGTGCTCTGTCTGCGTGTACAACTTTTACACCAGCAAAGGATATCAGTTTCCAGGACAGATGGCTGTGAGCCGCACGTGGGTGCTGGGAATTGAACTCAGGACCTCCAGAAAAGCAGCCAGTGCTCGTAACTGCTGAGCCACCTGTCCAGCCCCGTCTGGGTCTCTCTGTAGCCAGCCTGGAACCTGGAACCCTTGTGGCCTGGTCTCCTCACTGCTGAGATTAGAGGCGTCTTCGACAAATTCTGGCTGCAAATTCAGTACTTTCCTTTAACTGTACCTTGTTTCCCCCTTAACCCTTCCTAGACACTGCCAAAATTCAATTCTGCACAAGGCAGAGATACCCCCCACATTATAATAAATCGAAAACTACCAAGAAGACACCCCCAGAGCCTGACAGAGTTTGCGCAGGGAGCTCCCCTGCATTTAGAAACTGGGTGATAAGAGCTGGACCGGAGTCTGGCATGGTAGTTCAACCCTATAATCTCAGGTAGTCGGGAGACAGAGGCAGGATCAAGTTCAAGGCTGGCCTGGACTACAGAGAGAGTTCAAGACCAACCTACGCAATTTATGGAGACCTATCTCTTCGGAGCTTATCCTGGAACCCACTCTGTAGACCAGGCTAGCCTGGAACTCACAGAGATCCACCTGCCTCTGCCCCCCCCGAGTGCTGGGATTAAGTGTTCCACCACTGCCCTGCAAAATCAAAATTAAAAAAAAAACTTTTTAAAATAAACACACACTTGGGGCTGGAGAGATGGCTCAGTGGTTAAAAGCACTGACTGCTCTCCTAAAAGACTAAGAGACCCGGGTTCAATTCCCAACACCCACATATCAGCTCACAGCTGCCTGTAATTGTAGTTCCAGGGAACCTGGTACCCATGGCAAAGCACCAATACACATAAAATAAAGATAAATCAATTTAAAACACGCACACAGACTGAGTGTGATGACACAAATTTATTTAGTGGAAGAGAGTTGCTATGGTCATGGTGTTTCTTCACAGCAACAGAAACTCTAACTAACACAACCATCCTTGGTTACATAGTGAATATGAGGCGACCCTGGGCTATGTAAGACTCTACCTAAAATAATTAATAAAAATTTGAAGCCGGGCGTTAGTGGCCCACACCTTTTATCCCAGCACTCAGAGACAGAAGCAGGCAGATCTCTGTGAGCTGGAGGCCAGCCTGGACTACAGAGAGAGTTCCAGGACAGCCTACAAAGCTATACAGAGAAACCCTGTCTCGAAGAACAAAAAGAAAGAAAGAAAGACAAAAAAATTAAACTCTTGGTCATGTATGGGCACACCTTTATTCCCAGCACACTGGGAATAGAGGCCGGTGGATGGTGGATCTTTGTAAGCTTGAGGCCAGCCTGGTCTACATAGTAAGTTCCAGGACAGACCAACTTACGTAATAGAGAGACCCTGTCTCAAAAATATAACCCCCCTGCAAAATTATTTTTAAGTCTCAGTGACAAAGCACATGCCTAGAATGCCTGAAGTCCTAGGTTTGGATTGAGTGATGTGGCAGTTGGAATGAGACTGGCATAGGCTCATATGTTTGAATACTTTGTCCCCAGCAGGTGGAACTGTTTGGGAGGGGGAGGTGTGGCCTTGGTCGGAGGAGTGTGTCACTGGGGGATCAAGCTTCCAGGTTTCAAAAGTGCAGGCCATTCCCATTCCCATTCTGCCTGCTTCCTTTCTGTGGATTAAGACCTAAGTTCTCAGTATGGTCCAATCCCCCGCCCCCCTGCCCGCTGCCCATACTAAGACAAGTGATAAAAATAAATAAGTAAAAAACTCTCCTTTACTAAGTGACTGTATACACATGTACCGGAGCAATTATCTAAGTCACCACGAGGTAGTTAGGGTGAATAGAACCCGTCAATTGTATATAAAAACTGCACACACAGCTTCACATCCCTGTTTCCCAAGGCCCAAGCTTCTGTGTCAGGCCGGGTTCTCCAAGACGAACAGATCAAGCTAGGGGTGATGCCTGTGAAAGACAAGGGCAGGGTAAATAGGATTGGGCAAGGAGAAACTCAGAGCCCACAGACCTGGCAGAGAGCCTGGCAACCACAAGCCAGGAGGGCCCCTTAGCAGAAGTCCAGCCTGTGAACTGCCTGGTGACACAATACCACTGAGCCACATCCCAGATTGCCAGGGAGTACCAGGAAGTTAACACCATCCATAGACACAGAATGGAAGCCATGTCTGGGGCATGAGGGGCATTGGTGGCTCACCCTTTAATCCCAGTGCCTGGGAGGCAGAGGCGGGTGGAGCTCTGAGTCTGAGGCCAGCCTGGTCTACAGAGTGAGTTCCAGGCTGAACAAGGCTACACAGTGAGACCCTGTCTCAATCAATCAAACTCAGCCGCACAGTGGTGGTGCTGGCCTTCAGTCCCAGCACTAGGGAGGCAGAGGCAGAAGGATCTCTGTGAATTTGAGGCCAGCCTGGTCTACAGAGAGAGTTCCGGGACAGCCAGGGCTACACAGAAAAACCCTGTCTCCGTATAGTAGCCAGTGCAGAAATGTGTGGGTGACTGCAGAGCACTTGACCCGATGACCTCAAATATGTTGCAATTGTGGAATGCACAAAGGATTTTGGAGGTCCCCTACGGCACCCTTCTCATGAGAATTTTGCTCAATGAGTCAATGAGTCTTGACCATATTCATCTTCCCCATCCTCTCCCCTCCCAGGCCCCATTCATTCCTTCCCTACACCCAGCTTTGGCTCCTTTTTTTTTTCCCACCAAGTCCATTTTTGCTGCCCATACATTCATGTGTGTATGACTTTCCATAGGAGCAGAATACTCTATATTTTTGTTTGTTTTCAATACAGCTTCGGTTTCTTTGTGTAGCTCTGGCTGTCCTGAAACTCCCTCTGTAGACCAGGCTGATCTTGAATTCAGTCCCTCCCGAGTGCTGGGACTACAGGTGTGACCACCCCGACCCGGTCTTTAAAGAACTGAAATTAAAAGTCTGGGCACAGTGGTGCCAACCCATAATCCCAGCACAGGACATGGGGGTGGGAGCAGCAACAGACGCATGCTGCCCGTTCTGTCTACATGGTGAGCTCTGGGGTAGCCAGGATTACACAGTGAGATCTTGTGCTAAATGTTTCTAGGGAAAAAAAAAAGAGGGAATGAAAGGAAAAAAAACAATTTGGAAGAGCAAATTCAAACTCTCGGAGCTTACAATATAGATGCACAATCCTTGCTCATTGTGGGGGAAAACTTCAACAACACAGACAAGAGGGCTGGAGGCTCGGGCTTCGGCGCTTAAGAGCACTGGCTGCTCTTCCAGAGGTCCTGGGTTGGAGTCCCAGCACCCACAGGGCTCTTGCTAGTTGTCTGTGATCCCGGTTCTAGGGGATCTGGCGCCCCCTTCTGGCCTTTGTGGGCACTACGTGCATGTGGTACAGAGACACGTTCAGGCAAAACATACATAAAGAAAAATGAATCTTCTTTTTTCTTTGTCTTTTGTTGTTGTTTTTGAGACAGGGTTCTCTGTGTATCCCTGGCTGTCCGGGAACTCTCTCTGTAGACCAGGCTGGCCTCAAACTCAGAGATCCACCTGCCTCTGCCTACTGAGTGCTGGGATAAAGGCTTGAGCTACTACCGCCTGACATAAATCTTAAAAAAAAAAAAAAAACGATAAAATAAGAGATTAAATTTAAAATATCTGTAATGCAACAAAGTTAACAGTAGGCTTTTTTGTTATTGTCTTATTTTGTTACTTTACTTTGTTTTGGGTCTCCTATTCCACAGGTTGGCCTTAAACTAGGATGACCTTGGACTTCTGACCCTCATGAGTGCTAGGATTTCAGGTGAGCTCCCCAGTGCCTGGTTTTGTGCCGTGCTGGGGACTGAACCCAGAGTTCCATAAATGCTAGGCAAGCACTATAATAACTGAGCTACCTGCCCCAATTCCAGGTGTATATTCGTTTAGGACAGTGGTCCTTAAGCTGTGGGTTGTGACCCTCTAGGAGTCAAACAACACTTTCAGAGGAGTCAATTAAGACCATCGGAAAACACAGATATTTACATTAAGATCTGTAACAGTAGCAAAATGACAGTAATGGCCTAGCAATAAAAATAATTTCATGGTTGGAGTCACGACACCATGAGGAACTGTGTTAAAGGGTCGAAGCATTAGGAAGGTTGATTACCGCTGCCCTACATGATTCACACACATACACAACTTACATAAACACTCACACACATACACATATAATACACACATGCTCACACATACTCATACATACATACACACACAATACACACATTCACACACTCACACACACCTACTCACACATATACACATGCTCACACACACATACACACATACTCACACATATACGCATGCTCACACACATTCACACATACTCACACATGCACACACACTCACAACATACACACATATATACATACACGCTCACACAGACACGCACGCACACACACACACACACACTGCTTAAACTGTGATCTGCAGTGCTTTGAAATCTGCGTTTTCTTCTAGGTCTCATCACCCTGTCTTCTGCCCTTCATCCTGAAGCCTCTTGTTCTTGAGCGGCCGAAGCTGCGCTGAGTCACACCTGAGCCAGCACTAATATAACCAGTTATCTCCACGCTTTCCCTGTAATT